TTTTTTTGTATCTATAGATGCTATTATTGTTTAACGCATGGTCATTATACAGAAGAATGTATTCAATTAGATATTGACTCATTAAATTTTTACTATCCTTACATTTAAGGTACTAGTACAATCTGTTTGATTAATCTATTTATTCAGTTATTATTAAAATTTAATATTGCACATATTTTAATGTGTTAAGTAAAAAATACTATTATACATTATAATACATCTAAGTAGTTAAATTTATTGTTAAAAACGAAGATTTAAAAATATTGTGAATAATTATTTAAGTAATTGTTAATCAATAAACAATATATTGTTATAAATAAAAAATTCTATTGATTAATTTGTTTTATATAATAAATGTAGTAGACTTATGTTTAAAAATGTAATTTCAGAAAAAAAATATATTCCATAAAAATGTTATTTTGTATACTAAGTTTCAACTCATTTTAGAAATCTTTAAAGAATTTCTTTATATGAAATTTGTATTTCAGTGTTTTTGCAATAGTTTTTTCAATTAATTAAAAAAATAAATTCAGCACAGTGGAGTCACGGCATAGTGGTGACGTGGTATAGTTAGATCCAAAATTGATTTTATCTAACAGTTATTAAAATCACTATCATAAGAAACGCTTCAATGCAAAAATCTGTAGTGAGTGTTTAATCACAAGAAATATGAGGATAATTACAAAAGCAATATCTACTACTATTTCCTTATTTATTATAGATTAGTGATTCTTAGTTTCAAAAATATAATATTTAATTTTTATTTATATTTATATATTATATAATATTTATTATTATACATTATTTGTTTTCAAATTATCATTGATTTTAATTTTTAATATGTTAAAAGGAATCATTATTAACTTACTCTTTTTTTGTCCTTTAAAATGAATATTCATAATAAAAAAAAAAATGAATTTATTACGATAACTTATAGCTCAACTTGCAAGTTTAAAATTGACATCATTAAATAGAAAAAAATGGTATTGTTAAGATTAATACACAGTTAGTAAATTGTATAATTACTACTTACAGTAAATATATCAGAAAAAACCTTTTTTTTTTGCATTTTTATCGTAATAAATCACTGAAATAAAAAACATTTCTAATTAACTTTTGGTGTTTCTAAAGATTTTACAATTGAAATATGCAAAACTGAATTGATTTTAATGATTTACTTTAACAAAAAAGAAACAATCAAAAAACAGTTGATAAAAAGGTCTACTCAATTGAATTTATTATACAAATTGATTATAATTGTAAAATCCATTGTTAAATTCAGATGAAATTAAAAATCATTTTTTTTTAGATTTATGATTTACATAGCACTAATGTACCAAACATTTTACCTAAAAATTGGTATGTTATAGACTGCTAGTAGCACACACAAATAGTTAAAAAATTAATTATCTACAAAGTAAAATTATTTACTTTTGTAGTTGAATACTTTTATAATATTAAATCTAATTCAACAATAAATACTTTAAAAATATTAGAAATTAATGATTTTAATTGTTTGTATGGAGAAATCTGGTTAAGCTACTTTTTATTTGATTTGTTTTTAATTTNTTGGTTAAGCTACTTTTTATTTGATTAAGGGATTTGTTTTTAATTTTTGAGGGTGATATCCTCAACTAAATACGAATTATAATCATTTGACATATCGTAGAAAAAAGTAGGTTAAATGAGGGTTGGAAAAATAAATCGCAACCATAAAAAAAAAACACATAATAAATTAATGTTAAGTTGAATAAGACATTTCTTTTCACGAGAGGAAACTACAGTAATGGGATCCTTAATTTTTATTGAAGTTAATGAATCTAAATGAGATAAAAATCAAATGTGTTGAACATTTTTTTCTAATTCAAAAAAAAAAAAAAATACAAAACATTAACTGTTACAGGTAAATTCGAACCTCGTATCCTAAGCATGAAAGACACAAGTGTTACCTATTCGACAACTGTTTGTTGCTCTCGTCAAATGATAATATTGATAATTTAATTCAAATTTTAAAGTTACTTTTTCGACTTAAAAAAGCAAAAAAAATGTAAATAAATTAACTTTTTATATCTTATGAAATTTATTCTATATTAATTAAATTATATAATATTCCAGAAACTCAGTGTATTCCCCTTGTACGATATTTTTAAATAAAATAAAATACCAAATACAGAACTTTAACTCAAAAATAGAATATTTTTTAATATGGTATCCATTTTCACCAAGAAGAAGATCTATATTTCAATTTTTTTTTAGCTTCGATGCAAAGCTGTGAAGGTATTAATTTTACTATGATGTGTTTTTTTTTTTTTTTTGTGTCTGTATACGCTTAATCTCAGCTCTCGCTGGACCGATTTTGATGAACAATATGTCAAAAGATTACAAATTGTATCTAGTCGAAGACATTACCCTCAAAATTTGAAAAAATATCCCTCGTTCCCTGTAAAGGGGGGAAATCCCCCAAAAAATTACAAATTAAAAAATCGCTAATTTTCGATATTTTTTCAATTTTATATTATTTTTTTTATTACTAAAAGTTCTATAGTAAAGGATTTATTATAGACTTATTATATAAATAAATGTTTTCACTTACTTCTGACTATCCTGATAAGACAGATATTCTCTTGAGATTAATGATGTAGTTGATGTAACAATTATCGATATTTATGCATTAGTACGCATTTAAATTTATACGGTTTATGTTATTATTAACTCGCGTGTAACTACTTTTCTAGTACAAATCTATATCATATCTATCCAAGGTGAAACGTAAGTTTTTAATAACACTGGTTTTTTATGTAAAACCCTTTTGTATATTTATGTGGTATAGTTTTTAACCTTGTATGTGGTGTTTTACACTAATATATTTATTATTTAATAATTTATAAAACCAATAAAGAAATTCTAAACAACATAACTGTCCTGTGCAACATACTATTTCCAAGTGGCCTACGTCTTTTTAGTTGTCCAAGGAGTAATCTAGAGTAGATGCGAGCTCAATTTCGATTCTTTGCACAATAGATTATACTAGTGTCCTACACTCCGATTGCTCGCACTGTGGCAGATATCAGACTGCCTAGTCGATAAATGGAGAGACACTTTGGAGATATCTTGTAATTAACTAAAATTTTAATTATGATATAATTTTACTAGTACTCTGTCCGGCCAGGTTGTGGCACTTCAATAAGTAATAGAACACAATGCAATCTGGTCATGTAATATTTTAGTATGTTTATATATATATATATGTAGATAAAAAAAAAAATAAAAAAATCCAATGTTTTATATGTGTTAGAATATTTATATCACCAAAAGTATTCGACCGAAAATTAGATGTATAATATTTCTTGTAAATCCCAGTTATTACGAAAGAGCATAAAAATAGTGCAGATTTTATATAAAATTGCAACTAAGAACGAAACATACACTCACGCACATTCACTTTTTGTATCTTGGTTGAGAGTTCCAGAGTTCCAGAGATGCAGAGATAGAATGGCAAGGAATCCCAGTGTCAGCTAGAGGGATGTTCAGAAACCGTACATAACCACCGTAAAAGAGCCACCCGAATTTTGGGAAAAATGGCCTTTAATGTTTTAAACCCAACCCAACCTAAACACTCATCCGATCAAATGCTGACCACTGCGCCATAGCATTATCACGACCTAAAGATGAAGCAGAAAAAGCTTCGGTGTTAACCACAGACAACATTGTGCTGATCAAACAAACCAAAGTGAATATCACAAAAATTAAATGGGTCGTGAAATACTTTGAACCAAATGTGAAAATGGAATTGGATCTAATGCTCATATTAGACAGCAAAAAATGGTTACCGTTAGAGTTTCAACATTGGGACACTGCTGTATTCCCTCTCGTACCACAAACCATCACTCATACATGGCCAGTGCGTACATTTTCGGGTGTTGAAAAACCTAGGTACTTACTCGTAGCTATGGTAACAGATGCCAATAAAATGGTACACAGTGAATTAAATCATTGTCTTCTGCGTAACATCAAGGCGTGCTTCAAGGCTGACGAGTACCCGTACGAAAATCAAAATGCAGATTTCGACAAAGGCAAGTTCTCAAAATTTTATTATTCGTACGCCCAATTTCAAACAATGTCCTATGGAAAGATGAACCCATACCCTTTTATGGATCGAATCACCTACAAAAAAAACGGAATTATATTCGTAATCGATTGTTCATAACAAAACGATACCGTCAAGTCATCCACAGTGGATCAACGTATTGACTTTGAATGTGAAGAGCATTTCCCAGCTAAAACTTTGCTGTACTGCGTCATCATACACGACTGTCAAATGGAATACAATGCATTCATCAGAGAAGTGCGCAAATTGTAAGTATAAAATCAGTAGGATACAAAATAAAATAAAAAAATGTGCCTTTAATATTTATAGATGACGTCATAGTACCTGCCATACATATACTAGTCAAATATTACGATTTCATATGATTAAATATAAAGCAATCACGATTTAAATATATCCTGAAAATTGAACATTCTTGTTAAACAAATAATTGAATACTTCAGAGGTACAAATTTTTAATGTTCAAGAAAAAATTACTAGTTTAATACTGTGAAGTAAACGAATGTTATCTAAAACCTTACAAAACTGAATAATTTCATTTTTTCATTAATTAAATTGCTGNCTGTCAGATATCATCTATACTTGTCCCATCTATGCCTCGTCCACACTGTGCCTCGACCCCACTGTGCTACCGTTTTTTTTATTTTATAATAACTAATTAGTTAACTAGTGTCTGAATAATTTTACCATAACAGGTAAGATGAATTATTATAAAAAAATATGTATTATTTTACTAAAAATAATAATTTTTAATGTTATAACTGTTTATACAAATGACCAAACACCTATAACTATTGACGATTTGAATAAACTCATTAAAGAATATCCTGCATTTATACAGTTGGAATTACAAAAACAAGATTATTATATAGGAAAATATATAGCTCGTTGTCCTATGCCTTACAACGAAAATACTATATTAGACGATCCCGATGTTGTGTCGTCTAAATTATTCAACCCAAGGGAATGTAAACAACCTTGGACATGGACGCGAAAAAATGAAATAGATGTTCCTGTAACTATTGATAGTAGCGTTGGTAAAAAATTAGGAGATATCATTCGATCGTGTCTTAAAAACAATACTAATATTGTCCAATGTTATACTCATTATCTGAATGTAATTGAAAGCGTTGGATTAACATTTTTGGACAGATATTGTTTGTTTCAAATTGAATTTTTGGATAGACTTTTAGCAGTGTATGAAAATATAGATAATTTAGAAAATTATAGTTTGTTTAATATTAAACTTAATATTTCAGTAATCACCTCGATTCTAGAGAATATTGATCAGCTTTTAAATAATATTCGTGTTGCATTTACAAGGTATTATATTTCTACTCTACCTTTTGACTGTGTTATAAATCTCTCCAAGAAAACGTATAATAAAGACTCATACTTCCAAGAACAAAAAATACATATCTTAAATTGTCGGGAATTAATAAAATCAAAAACAAATTATGCCATTTTAGAAAATGATCAGTACTGGAAATGGGATATTACTTCTGATAACAAACCTGATGACACTGTATTAATGACTACGCAAGACAAAAATAATAAACTAGGATTTAAACTATTTTTTCGCAATGAAACAGAATAATTTTTCAAATCTTATTTTATTTTTGTATAAACAAATAATAATAATTTATATAATTTGTTTAATTTATTATATGTTGTACTTAAAAATAACACCGATGATTGTAATAATACATTTTCACTAGTTAATTTTATAGTAAAATATTTCAAACCCGTATTTACCTATTTTATTTATACAAATTATTAGGATACACGACGACTTTGGCTATAATCAATAATAACCCGACCTTTATGATGTCATCCTTAAAAAATTGAAATACTGGTTGCCAACCTCCTGGTCTAGACAAATCATTGTAGGATTATGGTAGGATCTTAAAAAAAATAGAAAATTAAGAGTAGGGTGATTCTAGGCCCTCTCCGCTTCACCCACCCACCACACTACCACGATAATGGGAAGAGGGGTGGAGGGGGAGTAAATCCAACGTAAACTATCATACTGCAACAGGAAGGGGAACGACGAAACCCAACGTAAACTAACCTAAGAAGAACCTCTCCTCCTCCACCAAGTCTTTTGTGAGAGAGGTAATGTAACTTAAGGCAAACAAACCTATAGGGGGGGGGATGAAACACGACGTAAACTAACACAACTTGTCACGCGCCTAAATTATGCTCGGCCATATATACGTAATATCGGTTTTTTGACGAAAAAAAAAATGCATTTTCCAGATAAAGTCTGTACGGGAAAATGTTAATTTTACCTAATTTGTAAAAAAACATAGATTTATTCAAAACAGTCATTGTGTGCCAGATGGCTGTATTGATGATTACACTATAGCCCTTGAGATTAATACAGCAGATGGCCCAACGCGGCGGCAACGGCGATGTCGCCATCAATTAGATTAATTGTTATTATACGAGTTAATAAGCTTGACCATTATTCGTATAGTGAATAATAAATCAATATTTTTTTTGTATACAATATATACTAATGACAACTTTTCAAGTTTTCTTATGGCAAAAAACATTCTTAAATAAACACTACTACCGCCGCCGACGACGACGACGTAATCACTGGAACATATATATTATAATGTTTATACTATTATTATAATCTGTATTATACTTATCGATTAATGTTGTACATATATTTTGTCTGAATTATTACTGTATTTAACAACTGTAATTAATTATTTTTAATAAAATAATAGCTTCGACTTGACGGATTGCATTCTTCATCCGTCAACGCATTAGAGACGGCAGACGGCCATAATTTTTTACAAAGGCATCTGTTTTAAATCCTAATGACATATATGTGTAAAAATTTCACTTTAAGACTGAATATTTTCATGCCATTATAAATAACGATATTTAACTATATTATAATTAAAACGTATATAATTTGACATGCAGACGTATCAAATATACGATGGAATACTGAATTTTTTGTCCTTGCTTAATACTATTATATGCATAGGTATGAATGATGTAGGTGGCCAGTGTTCATTACAATCATTAATCTAGTAATGTTTTAATATCTTAGTCGTATACACCTCATTCTTTATCACGAAATAATTATCTAAAAGATATTTGGAAAGGAGGAAAGGGGGGGGAAGCAGCATAATATTGTATGATGACTACTAATAGGTTCTCAGTATTTGTTAAGCTATTGTGTGCGCAAAATGGATTATTTCAATGATATATCGGATAAATTGAATTATCTTGTTGAAAACTATCCGACGGATAGAGTTTTCAAACTAGTTAGTAAACTATTGAAAAATTATAGAGATTTACAATATTTTACGGAACGTCTAGGCGATAAATTCAACGGTGTAGGTGGTGACTTTTTACATTACAAAGGTTGTGAATTATCGGATGCGGGAAAAAATTCGGACAATTCTGAATGTGCATGCTCTGTTGTGAAGCGAATATATTACGAACTTTTGGATTCAATGGAAACAATTTAAAAGACGGCGAATGCGAACCGCAGTGACAGTAAAGCCTATTGGACATTGAGACTTTAATCACAATGGCTACACCAAGGTGTAAATTCAATAAAATCAACGACTTGATCGATTCATCAATGTATAGATTGTATTAAAACATTGAAAATTATCTTCAGTGATTATCCACACATGAAAGTATGTTTAAAAATATTTGATTTTTTCATCTTAAAACTTAAACTTAAAAAAAATTTTCAGCGTGTGTATTACTTCTCCAATCTGGTGGAATTAGCTACAAACAGATCTTTTCTAGGAATAGATACTTTGCCAAAAATTGACAAGAAAGATCGTGACTTTTCCAGTCAAATTCGAAGATGATTGAAATAAAATAACAAGTTTACAAAACAACTAGTTTTTTATTAAAAAAAATTTTTTATATTTTTTTGTTTCTATACTATATTGTAAATTGTACAATAATAAAAAATAAATAAGTATTTACATTAAAGTTTTCGTACTTCTCCCGTGAATGCGTTGTATTCCATTTGACAATCGTAAATAATTACACAATACAATGATGTTTTATCGAGAAACTGTTTGGAGCATTCGAAATCCAAGCGTAGATCAACCGTTGATGACTTGACGGTGTCGTTTTGTTTAGAACAATCAATCACGACTATAGGTCCACGTTTTTTGTAATTTATATAGTCCAATAAAGGATAGGGGTCTTTACGACCGTAATACATTGTCTTCGGTAATGTAATACATCGGTTGTTTATAATTGACCATGCAACGTCGTAATTTGGCTCCGTAGTTTTTAAGTTTTGTATCAATAAACTCGCTTCACCAGTTAATGCACTTAGGTTATAAAATTTGTGTATTTTTGGCATATCGCTATGAGAGTTAATAAGTGAATTAAAATGATCTTTGAATGAACACCATTCTTCAAACTTTTTTCCAAATGTCGGTATTTCTGGAGGTTTTACCTTCATATCATTATAATTATTTATTTGACTATCGAGAGAATCCCTGTCGCGATTATTTGAAATAACATTAATAGGAATTCTGCTTTTGCCACAATTTCAAAATAAGTATCAACAAATATGTCGCGATACTCTAAATTCTCTTCGCTCAGGTCAAGCGCTTCAATATTATTTTATATGTTATCAAACTCATCCCACTTTTATTTTATTTTTTCCAACCGCAATCCTATCTGAGTTTGATTGTTATGATTTGCTAGGTCATTTATAAATGCTTGGAATTTTGTCAACTATGCTTTAATCTGTCCTCGTCTTATAATGCATACTGCTAATCTGCATTCCTAACCTCACCTGTTGCCATGTTGATCGTTTAACTTGGGTTTTGCAATTCTATTTCTATCTATGCGCAATGAACGCATGATTTACTTAACAACCCACCACTATGTTACAATATAATTCACTTACCCTCAATACTAATACTCCTGGTAGTATTTTATTTATTCCTTGCAAATTCAGTCGCGTAATGATTCACGATCGCACTTAAATTGATCCGTACCGATAGGACCATATGTTAACGCCACATAATGGTTCGTGTATTATTTTATTTCTGTTTTTAATGATTAGCGGACTGTATAATATAAAAATGAAATTCTCAAAAATATAATTTTATGTAATTAATATAATAATGATTTATTAATTCACAAATATAAATTATATAAAATTTATAATTAATAGACATTAAGCGGAGCTAGCGGATAGGTTATTGTGGCCGTTGTCGCACTAGTACTGACGCACTGATATAATAACAAGTCTTAACAATTTTCTAGTACTACTATTACTATCCCACGGCTGTAAGACAAAAAATTACTGTTATACAAGTATATTATCAATAAACCTAACGTCTTTTGTTAAGATAAAATTCAGTCTGTAATTAGCGTCAAATCAATTACCTACTCTATTGGTTATATCTTAATATAAACTACACTATAATGATACTATAAGTAAATAAATATAGTTTTGTAAATATATTTAAATTATTATATTGAAAAATTAAAATAAATATGTAAATATGTTGTATTAATGGTGTATGTGTGTGTGTGTGTGTACTTATTTTCACTAACTTATAAAAAAAATGTATTTATTTCCTTATTAAATAATCTAATGGTAACAATGTAGTAACAATCAGGTCATTTGTCCGGGTATGTATCGTAAAAAGAAATGGTGAATAGATTAGTAATTATAATAATAATAATAATATCTTTTTTACGGAAATAACTCCATTTACAATTTATATATAAATATGATAACAGTTGAGAACACGTAACAATTAAATCACAATTTAATACAAGCAAATATATATTATAGATTATAAATTAATAATTTTTATTATTATTTAATGTATAAAGATTTAAATTTATCAATATTACTACAAACGAAAAAATCCGCACTATCCCTATTGCCCGCCAACATTAAACAATAATGGAAGAAGATTCTTATATTTTTTTTTAAATATTTTTTACGTAGAATAAATCTTTAATTCAGATTCTAATTTTATGTATTTTAAATTGTAAACGCTCAAGAAGGAATGAGCAATCAATGTCACCATTAATAAGTTTATATAAAAACACTAATTTTTGACTGTTTCTTCTATAATCTAAAGTATTAATATTAAAAAACCCTAAAACTCCATCGTAACCAGAATGGGGTATCCTTTCAGCCTTATATTGAATAATAAATATCTTAGAAAATTATTTTGTATTGAATCTNTAATCATTAATATCTTAAAAAATTATTGTGTATTTAATCTAAGTCATGAATTTGAGTAAAAGAATTATAAATCCACACAAGTGAAGTGTATTCAGGGCAAGATCTTACTAATGAAAAATAAACTGCCTTAAGGGCATCTGCGCCCTTATGTTGTAAAGGTTAAAAAATATTATCTTATGTAAACATGTATGAGTGTGTACTACGTTCCGATACACACTCAACTATTTCTATAGTATATGATTACTATGGTAACATATTATTAATTATCCAAACTTTGATTGTATTTTTTTTTTAAATTATTTGTTTCGCGTTCAACAGAAAAAACATCGGAGAACGTACGAAAACACCAAAATATACAACTTATGTGCAACCCGGAGAACTGTCGAGAAAACNGTGCAACCCGGAGAAACTGTAGAGATTAGCGTCAAAACCGTCGTTTAGTCACACCACCGTATTTAACAAAATCTGGTTGCCGAGCACATGTACAAGGAGAAGATCAATTTTTACAAAACCTTAATTAATAAAATAAATCGATACATTTTTTGTAATTTTTTAACCAATATTTATAACAATACATAAATAAAACAGTTACAAATTATCAGTTAACCATTGTTTCAAACACATTGCTTTATACAAGCTACAAATTTTATGATTAGTTATGTGACGAATAAACGTGGTTGGAATTCCACACATCATTTTCGCAATGGCGGAGAGTTTTCTTTTATTTCGACTACTCTCTGTCCGGATAAATATTTTTGTAACATTTGTTTTTTCTGCATACCTTTCACGTAGATAATATGGCACCGTAACAATAACATTATTCTCAATAGTTCAGTGTATTCGACGTCGCCAATATTTGTGTCCAAGCGGTGATGGAATTTTGAGCCAGTAAGTGGTTTTGACATCGTCCTTGATGATGTTTAGGTGTTTAAACACCCTTTGGGCTATGAAAAAAGTATAGAAATATTATTTTTTATAAAAAAATTGTATTCATCCATGAAGTTTTCAAAAAGTTATAACATTTTAAAGTAAAAAATGTAAAATATAAAATCGAAAATTTTCACACAAAAATAGAATTTGGTAGCCATTTTCACCGTGAAGATAAAGAAAGTCCAAAATTTTTTTTTTCCGTAATAAAGTATATTACATTAGCTTTAATTTAAGATATATATAAAAGTGTCAGACTTTCCGAAACATTTTCAAAAGTCAAGTTGAAAAAGTTAATTTTTGTGAAAAAGTTGTCATTTTAAATCTCCCCTTTAGGCAGGTAAATGTCAAATTTATAAAAAAAACATACCAAAGGATAGGTAAAGACATCAAACATCTATAAAAAAATTAAATTGATATGTTCATTTTTAAGAAAGTTATGGCAGTTTTAAGTAAAAAAAATTGAAAATTTTCGAAAATTAGCGATTTTTAAATTTGTAATTTTTTTGGAGGTTTCCCCCATTTACGGGAAACGAGGGAAATTTTTTCAATTTTTGAGAGTTATATTTGTATCATTAAAAGAAATCGGTTCGGTGACAGCTGAGAAAAAGTGGTACAAACACAAAAAAAAAATTATATAGATAAACACATCATAGTAAAACCAATAGCTCCTCATATTCGCATCGAAGCTAAAATGTACATATAATATAAATAATTGACGTCATTGTACCCGCCATGCGTATACTACTCAAATATTACGATTTCTTATGATTAAATATAAAGCAATCACGATTTAAATATATCCCGAAAATTGAAAATTTTTGTTAAACAAATAATTGAATACTTGAGAGATACAAATTTTTAATGTTCAAGAAAAATTTACTAGTTTAATGCTGTGAAGTAAACCAATTTTATCTAAAACCTTACAAAAATTAAATAATTTAATTAATTTACTGTTTTTTTATTTTATAATAACTAATTAGTTAACTAGTGTCTAAATAATTTTACCATAACAGGTAAAATGAATTATTATAGTAAAATATTTATTATAATGAAAATAATAATTTTAAATGTTATAATTGTTCGTACAAATGATGAATTGAATCAGAATACTGAAAATCAAACATCAATTACTATTGACGATTTGAATATACTCATCAGAAAATATCCTGCATTTATACAGTTGAAATTACAAAAACAAGAATATTACACAGGAAAAGATATAGCTCGTTGTCCTATGCCTTACAACGAAAATACTATATTAGACGATCCCGATGTTGTGGAGTATAATTTTTTCAACCCAAGAGATTGTAAAAAACCATGGACATGGACACGGAAAAATGAAATAGATGTTCCTGTACCTATTGATAGTACCGTTGGTCAAAAATTAGGAGATATCATTCGACCGTGTATAAAAGACAAAATTAACATAATCCAGTGTTATACTCATTATTTAAATGTTATCGAAAGCGTTGGTTTAACATTAATAGACAGATTTTGTATGTTTCAAATTGAATTTTTAGATAGAATTTTAGTAGTTACAAAAAATATAGATTATTTAAAAAAGTTTAGTTTGTTTAATATTAAACAAAATACTTCAGGACTAAACTTGATTTTCGAAAATGCTGGCCAACTTGCAAAAAATATATATGATGCATTTACACAGTATTATATTTCTACTCTACCTCTTAACTGTATTTCCAATATCACGAAGGAATCGTCTAATCTAGAGAGTAATGCATACTGCCAAGAACAAAGAAAGCAGATCTTAAATTGTCGGCAATTAATGAAATCAAAAATAAATTATGCCATTTTAGAAAATGATCAGGACTGGGAATGGGATATTACTTCTGTTTGCAAACCTGATGACTCTGTATTAATGACTACGCAATACAAATATGATATACTAGGATTAAAACTATTTCCTACAAAGGTAAAAAAATAATTTAACAAAATATTTTTTTTTTGTGTATAAACAAAGATTTTACAATAATTGTAAGTATAATTGTTTTTGTTTTTATATATTGTACTTTAAAATATTACAACAGTAATGATTTTAATAAATTATTATAATTGAGTCACATTATTACAAAATCTTTTTCAATTAATTTTGTTATAAAAGTTCTTTAATATGATAATAAAGAATAAAAAAATTAACTGAAAAAAGTAATAATTTTTTTTAATTACGTTAAAATCTTATTTTATTCACTAGTAGACTTATAACAGCTGTTATACTTTAATTTAATATAATGTTCAGAAAGTTTTTATTTAAAAATAATTAACAAATATTAAGTATAATATTTGTCATTTTTACTACAAAAAAGAAAGTTTGAAATATCAACTCTTAGTCATTTTATTTATACAAATTGTTAGAATACACGTCGACTTTGGCCACAATGAATAATAACCCTGCCTTTAAGATGGCACTTTTATAAAATTTAAATGCTGGTCTAGACAATACTTTGAGCTTTATGTGCGCCCAGTTAATCAAGTAGTATAAAGCTCAAATTTTTTAGAGATTATCTTTAGACATAAAGGAACAATTTAACGCCGGACGCTTCTTAAATTTTAAAACTTAAAAAATAGCGAACACCCTACACTGGGGTAATGACACAGTGTGGACGTAGCATAGTTGGGTCCAGTATAGATGATATCTGACAATGATTAAACTCAATAGCATAAAAAACGCTTCGATGCAAATCTGTAGATAGTGTTTAATTATATAAAATTGGTGGATTATTTCAAAAGCAAGAAAATTGTTTTTCTTTAACGAAGTAAATACATATAAATAATTCGTAAACCAGAAATTATTACAATTTCATATGATTAAATATAAAGCAATTGCGATTTAAATATATCCCAAAAATTGAACATTTTTGTTAAATAAATAATTGAATAATTGAGAGATACAAGTTTTTAATGTTCAAGAAAAATTTACTAGTCTAATACTGTGAAGTAAACGAATGTTATCTAAAACCTTACAACAATTGAATAATTTAATTAATTTACTGTTTTTTTATTTTATAATAACTAATTAGTTAACTAGTGTCTAAATAATTTTACCATAACAGGTAAAATGAATTATTATAGTAAAATATTTATTATAATGAAAATAATAATTTTAAATGTTATAATTGTTCGTACAAATGATGAATTGAATCAGAATACTGAAAATCAAACATCAATTACTATTGACGATTTGAATATACTCATCAGAGAATATCCTGCATTTATACAGTTGAAATTACAAAAACAAGAATATTACACAGGAAAAGATATAGCTCGTTGTCCTATGCGTTACAACGAAAATACTATATTAGACGATCCCGATGTTTTGTCTTCGGAATCATTCAACCCAAGGGAATGTAAAGAACCTTGGATATGGACGCGAAAAAATGAAATAGTTGTTCCTGTAACTATTGATAATACCGTTTGTCAAAAATTAGGAGATATCATTCGACCGTGTTTAAAAAACAATACTAATATTATCCAATGTTATACTCACAGGCCCTTCGCTAGGGTACAAGCAAGTCATGCATTGCTGTAGGGCGGCAAAATTAAATTAATAATCGTCAAAAAAAAAATGAAGTAATATTACTATTTTACTTCTACACTGTTATCGTATTAACTCCGCTATTTTGTTGTGACTACGATTGATCATTGCATAGTTATAATATAACCAAACATATATACACTATATTATAGTGAATACTTTTTTAACTATATATATATACATATATATACCTTTTAGATTATTGCCCACTACCCGTGTGGCCAGTATTCCCAAAAACCTATTTTATTTACTGATAATGAGAAAAACGACCATCACCTGTTGGTATTTTTATTTTGTGCGTTATACATTTGTCGAATTTAACGAGAGTTTAGACCAATTTTTATCTTACTGAATTTAATTTCTCAACAATCGTCCATCGTTGAACAACATATGGAATACGGTTTAAGACGACGTCGAAGTAAAAGATAATCGGTATTTATTATATTTGATTGTTTTTGCTAAGATTAATAGAGCTCAAGTATTTTTAATTTTATTTATACTTCGTAGATTATAAAAAAAGATATTTTAATTATTGGTAGTTTTTGCCATCTAAAAACTTGTATATTATTTTTTGTTTATAAATCATTCAATATTTGTTATAATATTACACAATTACGCATTGACCATGTCGTCACGAAAACGACTTTCCGGGTTTGAATATAAAAAAATACGAGAAAATAAACAGAATTTTATTAACACACAAGCAGGGAGTTTTACTAAATTTTTATTGCAAAAACCTGTAGATGAAATTAAACTACTGAATGATGATTGTTCACAAACTAAAACTAATTCTAATATACCTACAACCCAACAGAGTTCGGACATACAATTAAATAACAATTTAAACTATTCACAATCCACTTCTTATGAAATACCAGATAAAGCTTTGCCGCGGGTAGAAGTTGATTTATTTTCTGATAAAGATTCTATTAATTCAGATAAATTTAATTATGAAGAAATTAACATTACTTCGGAAAATGACGAATTGGAAACAAATAGTGTTGAACATTCAGATGACCCAAGTGACTGGCCACTAAAATTAACCGACTCAATTCGAATATCACTTATAAAAAAAAGGGCCTGTGCAAATTAAAAATTATTCTTTTCCAAAAAACCATTTAAATAGGAAATTTTCTGATGCTTATTATCAACGAATTTTAAATAATGGAGAAAAAATAGAAAGATCCTGGTTGGTTTATTCAAAAAAAAAAGATGCTGTGTACTGTTTCTGTTGTATGTTGTTTAGTTTTAAAAAAGATTCAGGTATGGTCTCTGAATGTGGATATAACGATTGGCGTAATTTAACAGGCCATTTAAAAATTCACGAAACCTCAATAACACACATTCTTCATTTTTCAACTCGGCACGAAATGGTTAGAAAATTAAAATTAAATCAAACTATTGATTCTCATAATTAACGTAAAATAGAATCTGTAATAAAACATTGGAGGTCTGTTTTAGTTCGGTTATGCGCTATATTACGTTGCATGGCTGCGCAAAATCTTTCAATCCGTGGAACATCATCTACAATAAATTCACCACATAATGGCAATTTTTTGAAAATTATTGAATTATTTTCGTTGTTTGATAATGTTTTAAAAGATCACGTAGAAAGGATTCAAAATAAACAATTACATGTACATTATTTAGGTCCTCAAATTCAAAATGAATTAATTAATTTAATGAGTGAAAAAGTAAAAAATAATATTTTAAGCAAAGTGAGAGCTGCGAAGTATTATTCCATTATTTTAGACTGCACACCTGACTGTAGTCATAAGGAACAAATGTCCATAATATTGAGATATGTTTGTATTAAGACAGGAGTTTTACATGAGCATTTTATTGGATTTATTGAAGTTTTTGATAAAACCGGGACTGGATTAAGTGACCGGATAATTAAAATGCTTTCTGATTTGGAAATAAACATAAATGATATGCGTGGCCAAAGTTATGATAATGGCTCCAATATGAAAGGAAAACATAACGGAGTTCAAAAACGCATACTTGACATAAACCCGCGGGCATTTTATGTACCATGTAATTCTCATTCGTTGAACTTAGTAGTTAATGATGCAGCAAAATGTAATATTTACACAGTCTCATTTTTTAATATAGTGCAACAACTTTATGTATTTTTTTCGNTAGTAATATTTACACAGTTTCATTTTTTAATATAGTGCAACAACTTTATGTATTTTTTTCGGTATCTACTGAGAGATGGAAAATTTTGATTCAATTTTTACCTAAATTAACATTGAAGAAAGTTTGCGACACGCGTTGGGAGTCGAGAATAAATGCGATAAGGCCCATAAGATATCAATTTGAAGAGCTTTGTAATGCCCTAAAACATATTAAGAATGATGTAAACTTAGCTGGAATGAATGGTCTTCATACAAAAGCAGATGCATACGCTCTTTTAAAAAATATATGTGATTTTAAATTTATATGTTCTATTATTATTTGTTATGATATATTAAGTATTGTTAATCCTGTCAGTATAGTATGACATTCATAATTAAAAATATAAAAAAGAATTTTTTTACAATAATTATATGTTTTTATTAACTTTGATGAACATTTTCACCATGAAAATGCATTGAAGCTAAAATGTTTGTGATAATGTGACGGTTCTAAGTCTTAAGTATATATTTGTTTAAAGTGTATCTTATGGTTCTTATTTATTTTAGCTTCGATACAAAGCTGAGAAGGTATTAATTTTACAATGATGTGTTTTTTTTTATTTTTATTTTTTTCTGCCTTTAACTACTTTTTCTCAGCTCTCATCGAACGGATTTCTTTCAACAATACGTCAAAAGATCACAAATCGTATCTAATCGAAGACATTACCCACAAAAATTGAAAAAATTTCCCTTGTTCACCGTAAACGGGGGAAATCCCCCAAAAAATTACAAATTTAAAAATCGATAATTTTTGAAATTTTTTCTATTTTTTTTACTTAAAATCACTATAACTTTTTTAAAAATGAACATATCAATATAAATTTTTTTTTTATAGTTGCTTGATGTCTTTATTTATCATTTAGTATATATTTTTTGTAAATCTGACACTTAACCTGCCCACAGGGGAAGATTTAAAATGATTACTTTTTTACAAATTAACTTTTTCAACTTAACTTTTGAAAATGTTCCGGAAGGTCTGACACTATAATATATATATTAAATTAAAGGTAATGTAATATATTTTAATTTGAAAAAAAAAAAAAATTGACCTCTGGACTGGTCTTCGTGGTGAAAATGGCTAACGAATGCTATTTTCGTGTGAAAATTCTCGATTTTATTTTTTATATTTTTAACTTTATAATGATATAACTTATTGAAAAGTGTATGGATCAATACAATTTTTTTATGAGACATAATATTTTTTTAATAATCCCTTTTTTATTCGACATACTTTATTTTAATCAGGAATAAAATAAGAAAATAGTAGATTATGTAGCTTTTGGAATAATCCATCATTTTTTTTTAAATTAAACACTATCTAAAGATGTGCATCGAAGTGTTTTTTTTATAGTGAATTTAATCACTGTCAGATATCATTATACTTGTTCCAACTATGCCACGTTACCACTGTGCCACGACCCCCCTGTGCTGGGTTTTTTTTATACACAGCTAATATGAAAACTAATTTGTCAAATAAAATAATAAGTACTAATGTAATAAAAATGTTTATTTATATACATTAGAAATCTAAAAATATCATCAGAAATTTTTTTTCTGAGATAGACTTACAATTGATACCGAAAATGTTAAAATTTGAAAAAAGAAATTTTTTATAGAAACTTTAATACAATACATTAAAAGAGATTTGGTTATCAACATTTTTTTTGAAATGTATTTTAAAAAATGTTGAACTATTAAATATTTTTCTCAAATTAAAAAAATAAGAAGTATAATACATCAATAAATATTTAGCAGATTATAGTTGTTAATTTGATAAGTTTAGCGCGCCAAATTATTGTGATTCAATTAAGTTTAGTACTTTTTATTTTAATAAATGAATGGGTAATAATAAATTACTAAACGTTAACCTTATTAACAACATGAAAACCTTTTTCTTATTAATTCCTTTTGGAAATTTTATTTTCATTCATTGTAGAAGACATTGTTTTACAAAACATAAATAATCAAAATTATAAATGTTACTTTTAGTGTAACTAGAAGACACCCTAATTTTCAGACGAGTCATATTAAAACTACCATATCAAATATAAAACAGTATGTGTAATTTGTATAGTTATTCTGGATTATTTCAGAAATTAAAGACTCAACCACTCCATTAACATTTATGGATGTTTTTGTACTGAACAATGATAACATTTTAAAACTATTTAGCAATTGTGTGAAATATTATTAAATAAATAAGTTATGAGTTATTTGAAAAAGTACAATAATATTTTCATTTGATTATTCATAATAGAGTGTATTATGGATTGCTCAAGAAATAGGAGTGTACAGTAAAAAAATTGTATACTGAATAACTTCCAAATATTTATCTTATAACAAACCGATGAATAAAATTAGAAATCGAAATTCACATGACCTCCTAAACAATCATAATTTGGCTTTTGTCAAATGTAAAAAAAAATTAAAATTGTATGGTTTTTTAATAATATTTTAATTAATTCTTTAAGTGTATTCTGATCATAAGAATAGTAAATTAAGTTGCTACGTGATACTTAATATTTATACAAAATGTTTACAATCAAATATAAATTAGTTTGTTGTTTGATTTTGTTAAAAAAAAACTATTTTTTTGTGCTTGTATTGAATTACTGATAATCATTAAAAATTTTGTAAAAAATATTTTGATACATTTATTTTATTGTATATAACATTATTAAAATGAAGGTGAAGAGGTTTTTTCGTCGATTGGCAACACTATTTAAGTGCTGTGTTTCGGAGAACAAGAAGCATAATACAAGTGGTAATGTATCTTAGTTTATTATAGTTCAGATATTTTTCTAACGAATAATACCAAATTATATACAAAAAAGTATATTGGAAAATGCAAAAAGATAAAAATATACTTTAACATAATAAATAATTTACTATATTAAAATTTGATATTGCATAATGGGATGAATAATACTTTAAGCTGGAAAAAATAGAACAATTTTCTGTGAAATATTATATTTACAATTGTAAATATCGGTTGACTATTGCCTAAGACTATCACCTTAACAATTAATTATAGAATTTTAGTGCTGTTAATATTTTTGTAGATCATTACATTAATGAGACGATGTATCTAATATTAGTTTTTTTAATACATTGATTTCATACCTTTATCTTAATTTTTTAAATATAGATAAATAATAAATATGTATATTTAAAATAATATTTATGTAAAATATTATTTTACATAAATCAATTTTATAAATGACACTTTTTGATGTCAGGTTATCATAAAATTACATTTTTTTGTACGCGAGGTGTATTGTAGTCAAAATATTTAGATTTTCAGGGGTAAATTTCAGAGATTTATGGAAGTTTATTCATTTTCAATTCAAATATATACATACACGTTTAAAATATCAATAAAATATATCGTTAATAATTTACTCCAAATTGAAAATTAAAAATAATACTCTTTTTCTAGATAAAAGTAACGTAGTAAAATTTACAACTTTTATGAGCTTTTAAAACCAACGGTTCTTTTTATAACCTACATATTAAAGTTAATAATTGAAATAAAATAAAATCAATATTTTTTATACAAAAGAAATGCTACTAAATATAATGCTATAAATGACAAAACAAATGTGATTTAACAAATGTTAAGACATCTAGATAGTTAAAACTATTGTTTCACTCATTGTCTGTCATAGTAATGTGAACTCCATATGAACTTAAAAGTTCTTGCTTTGAAAATTCTTCTGTGATGTAAGCTGTGACGAACAACGTCGCTTATTTGATTATATAGAAGCAGGAACAAACAATCAACAATATTTTGCTAACACCTCCAATAAAAATTAAAATGTATCTATAAGACGTTATTTATTCTCAAATGACGTATCAGAACCCCTATCTTCCCTCTTAGCATCCATCAAATAGTGTGATATTGATGTTTTTGGACAGTCACTTAAAAAAGGACTTATAGGATATTTATTTTATATAGTTATTATAGGAATATTTTTAAAAGAAAAAATATTACAACGTAGAAAATAAGAAATATTTCGTTTCTGCAGTAAAACTTTGATAAATATAATATTACTTAATTAATTACTACCTTAATTTTTCAATTACTTAATGCATTTGTTACGATTTTTCATATAAAAAAATTATAAAAGTTTAAGTGATTAAAAATTCATTAAAATATCATAATTCAATTTTTTAAGTACAACTATTTATATTATTAACACTGTTCTACGTAATATTTTAATTTGAAATAAGTATAACCAAATCTCCATTAAATTTTTGACCTTATGTCAAATTTAGCCTTAGATTTCATTATTTAAGTCTAGTTGCTTAATAAATATAATAATATATATCCCTGTAGTGTTACTATTATAACAATTAACTCTCAAAAAATTCACTTTAGGAATTTTAGTAAGATATTATGTTCATTTTATCAAAAATATACCATTTTGTAATAATTGTGTAGAATATAATAATAATGAAATTCGAATTATTAATTAGAAATTATGTCAGGTGATGTACAACTAGATGTTAAAAACATAGAATGTAGAACAACACAAATGAATGATATCGATGTAGAAAATGTAGTATCAGTAGGAAGTGTGTCAATTGTAAAACAAGATAATGGTGAAGATATGATTGCTGTGGAAAATATGAATTTACCTGAAGATACAAATGACCTTTGCTTTTCCCATATTTTAACTAAGGAGGATCGCCCTAATAATAGTACCCCAGAGCTCAGAGTAGATTGTATAGAAGATTTGTTGACAGTTAAGCAAGAAATTGATGAAGATATGTTTGCTGTGGAAAATAAAGATTTACACGACGATGTGAATGAACTTTGCATTTCCTATATTTTTACTGAAGAGGATCACCCAAATAATAGTACCTCAGAGCTCAAAGTTGATTGTACAGAAGATTTGTTTACAGTTAAACAAGAGAATGGTGAAGAAATTAATGTTGTAGAAAATATGAATTTACATGAAGATACGAATGACCTTTGCATTTCCTATATTTTTTCTAAAGAGGATCACCCAAATAATGATTCGCCAGAACTGGAAGTAACAGCTATTGAAGAAGCAGTGTCCATGGAAACGCGTAAACACGAAGAAGGTGTTATACGCTATTTTGGAATGAATAATGAAGCCGGTAGAATAATTTCAAAAAATGGAAAATGTTATAAATTTTATAAAGTAGGCATATTATTTTATTGTCATTTACATGACAGAACCTGCGTTTTAAAAAAACTAGTCAAGTTTTTAATACATAAATTAATTAAATTAAGTATTCGTATACCAAAATAAAAAATCTTAAATTTTTTTTGTAGTAATTAGGCATTAAACATAAAACAATTCTCTTTTAAACTATATAAAAATAGCGCATTTTTGTTTTCCTCAAAATAATTGAAAAAATTATGTTTTGCGGTTTAGTCATGAAGTTAATAATATATATTTTTTATTTCAAAAAAATACAAAAATCCTTTAAAATTGTCTTTTTTAGAGAAAGATATTGTTGGTTCTTATAAATATTATAAATCTCCACAAAAAGCAAAGTTTGTGGTCAATGATTCACAGCCGAATTGGGCGAAAGATGTTGAAATAGTTGGAGATATTTATGGCCAACGGTAATTATTAAATGATTTAACAGTATAAATAATAGATTTAATTTTGTTATTTTTTTGTATCTATAGATGCTATTATTGTTTAACGCATGGTCATTATACAGAAGAATGTATTCAATTAGATATTGACTCATTAAATTTTTACTATCCTTACATTTAAGGTACTAGTACAATCTGTTTGATTAATCTATTTATTCAGTTATTATTAAAATTTAATATTGCACATATTTTAATATGTTAAGTAAAAAATACTATTATACTATAATATTATATTATAATACATATAAGTAGTTAAATTTATTGTTAAAAATGAAGATTTAAAAATATTGTGAATAATTATTTAAGTAATTGTTAATCAATAAACAATATATTGTTAAAAATAAAAAAATCTATTGATTAATTTGTTTAATATAATAAATGTAGTAGACGTATGATTAAAAATATAATTTCAGAAAAAAAATATATTCCATAAAAATGGTATTTTGTATACTATGTTTCAAGTCATTTTAGAAATCTTTAAAGAATTTCTTTATATGAAATTTGTATTTTAATATTTTTGCAATAGTTTTTTCAATTAATTAAAAAAATAATCTCAGCACAGTGGGGTCGCGGCATAGTGGTGACTTGGTATAGTTAGATCCAAAATTGATTTTATCTAACAGTTATTAAAATCACTATCATAAGAAACGCTTCAATGCAAAAATCTGTAGTTAGTGTTTAATCACAAGAAATATGAGGATAATTACAAAAGCAATATCTACTACTATTTCCTTATTTATTATAGATTAGTAATTCTTAGTTTCAAAAATATAATATTTAATTTTTTATTTATATTTATATATTATATAATATTTATTATTATATATTAATTGATTTAAAATTATCATTGATTTTAATTTTTAATCTGTTAAAAGGAATCATTATTAACTTACTCTTTTTTTGTCCTTTAAAATGAATATTCATAATAAAAAAAAAAATGAATTTATTACGATAACTTATAGCTCAACTTGCAAGTTTAAAATTGACATCATTAAATAGAAAAAAATGGTATTGTTAAGATTAATACGTAGTTAGCAAATTTTATAATTACTACTTACAGTAAATTTATCAGAAAAAATCGTTTTTTTTTGCATTTTTATCGTAATAAATCACTGAAATAGAAAACATTTCTAATTAACTTTTGGTGTTTCTAAAGATTTTACAATTGAAATATGCAAAACTGAATTGATTTTAATGATTTACTTTAACAAAAAAGAAACAATCAAAAAACAGTTGTTAAAAAGGTCTACTCAATTGAATTTATTATACAAATTGATTATAATTGTAGAACCCATTGTTAAATTCAGGTGAAATTAAAAATCATTTTTTTTTAGATTTATGATTTACATAGCACTAATGTACCAAACATTTTACCTAAAAATTGGTATGTTATAGACTGCTAGTAGCACACACAAATAGTTAAAAAATTAATTATCTACAAAGTAAAATTATTTACTTTTGTAGTTGAATACTTTTATAATATTAAATCTAATTCAACAATAAATACTTTAAAAATATTAGAAATTAATGATTTTAATTGTTTGTATGGAGAAATCTGGTTAAGCTACTTTTTATTTGATTTGTTTTTAATTTTTGAGGGTGATATCCTCAACTAAATACGAATTATAATCATTTGACATATCGTAGAAAAAAGTAGGTTAAATGAGGGTTGGAAAAATAAATCGCAACCATAAAAAAAAAACACATAATAAATTAATGTTAAGTTGAATAAGACATTTCTTTTCACGAGAGGAAACTACAGTAATGGGATCCTTAATTTTTATTGAAGTTAATGAATCTAAATGAGATAAAAATCAAATGTGTTGAACATTTTTTTCTAATTAAAAAAAAAAAAAAAAATGCAAAACATTAACAGTTACAGGTAAATTCGAACCTCGTACCCTAAGCATGAAAGACACAAGTGTTACCAATTCGACAACTGTTTGTTGCTCTCGTCAAATGATAATATTGATAATTTAATTCAAATTTTAAAGTTACTTTTTCGACTTAAAAAAGCAAAAAAAATGTAAATAAATTAACTTTTTATATCTTATGAAATTTATTCTATATTAATTAAATTATATAATATTCCAGAAACTCAGTGTATTCCCCTTATTGTACGATATTTTAAAATAAAATAAAATACCAAACACAGAACTTTAACTCAAAAATAGAATATTTTTCGATCTATATTACTACAATTAATTTTTTAGCTTCGATGCGAAGCTGAGAAGGTATTAATTTTACTATGATGTGTTTTTTTTTTTTTGTGTGTGTCTGTATACGCTTAATTTCAGCTCTCGCTGGACCGATTTTGATGAACAATATGTCAAAAGTTTACAAATCGTATCTAATCGAAGACATTACCCTCAAATTTTGAAAAAATATCCCTCGTTCCCCGTAAAGAGTCGCCACTCGTAAAGAGAAAATTTTTATTCATATTAAAATTATTTTATTATATTTTAAGTTTTAGCTTCAATGCAAAGCTGAGAAGATATTTTTTTGTATTGCTACTTTTGTTTACCTTTATTCTTTTTGTGCTAACATTTTTATTTCATTAAACGGCTTAACGCTACCTGTATAACGAATCGTGCTTTCTTCTTTTTTTTTTGTGTTTACGACGTTAGTCGCAACAACTGGCTACCCGGCTTAAGATCAAAACCGGATTAACTTTTTAAAAGGTAAGCTTTTATATTAATTTCATAAATTTTGAATTTTTTTTTAAAAGAGACAGCGAAATTTTCCTCACCTTCCCGCACTACAGATATTTTTAACTTCTACTTCACTGGTGACAGCATAACATTTTCATTCAGAACCAGTGCACGTCACCATCGCTTCTTCGAGCCGAACACATTCGCGCCACCGACACGCGATTTGTCCCCATCATCATCGACCCGTTCGCACACTCACATGGCGATCGGGCCACTTAATTATTCACCTATTGTACGATCCCCTTCTCCCGAGTTTACGGGAAAATATGAGGAGGACCCACGCGAGTTTCTGGAACAGGTAGAAGGCCTATTGGCCCAAGCAGGCATAGATCGCGATTTATGGGTAAAAACGGGCGTACAATTTTTAAAGGGCATGGCATTAACTTGGTGGGAAACCATCAAGTTAAACAACATGTCCTGGCGACAATTTGCGAGGGAATTTCTCACGACGTTCGATAACAACAGCATACAAGCTGAATTAGAAAACGAACTCATGACGACGCAACAGGGGCCACATCAGCGCATGACTGAATTTATCATAAATAAACAACGTCTAGCGATGCGCGCACGCCCCAGAAACTAGTCCATTCTCCGAGCTCACAAACACAATTCCGTTCAAAACATTATCACATTAATCAGCGCGCCGACCAAACCGCCCGTTCAGTTAACTCGGGTAACAAAAACGGATGCGCTTTCTGCGAACAAAATGACACTATTTTGAATAATCTTAAAATCAACCACACTACTGTCACACCAACTTCATCAACACCCCTACAGCCCCACTGTCATTGTAGTGGGCACGCTGTAGCACCACACCCCTCATCCACAATGAGGACAACAAAGTTATTCAAAATACTTGTCACACGTTCGTAGACGTAATAGGTAATGACTATAGCGCGAGTCGGGCCAACGATATGTTGGTCACCGTGGGGGAGGGGAATACGGCAGGAATGGCCTACCCGCTTATGGCAATTAATACTGCCGGCGAACAAACCGTTTCAACGCTCCCCGTTCGAACCGCTAACCACCTGAGTACTGCCGCACAAACACGCCCGCGTAAAATTACTACTACCGCTGTGGAGCTGGAATTTAACAACGGTTTTGTGACGGCCTTACTTGACTCTCAAGCGCAAAAATCGTATGCCACTCGAGCAACAGCTCACAAATTTGGAATTGTGCACAGCTACCTTTATAACAAAAATTGCGGATCTACCAGTAAAGTTCACAGCTGTTATCTTAGAGAATCTGTACTGTGACGTACTTCTGGGACACGACTTTCTAACAGAACAGGAAGTCTCTTGGGACTACGCTGCATGTACAATTCACTTGGGCGCGATGCGACGCACTACAGCTTGTTGGAAAGCGAGTACTCAGCACACGCTACCGACGTAGATCTATCAACACTAGATATAGCAGGCGACCCACACACACACGCTATATTAACGCACACGATAAAAAATTATTCTGCGGTTTTTAACTACTCGGTAGGTCGCACAAAGCTTATCGAACACAACATCGTTCTAAAAGACCCGACGCATATCGCGCAAAAACCATATCCGTACCCGCTACACAAACAACAAGCGATAGACGAAATGGTAAGCGACATGGAATCACAAGGGCTCATAGAACCCAGCACCTCCCCTTGGTCAGCACCAGTCGTGCTGGCCAAGAAAAAAGACGGCTCATATCGCTTATGTGTCAACTATAGGCGACTTAACGATGTGACCGTATCAGACGCGTATCCCATGCCTAATTTAAACGAAATTATTAGAAGCATGAGGGGAGCGAAAGTTTTTACGTCACTCGTCTTAAAATCGGGTTACTGGCAATGCTCTTTACAGCAAAAAGTACGCGAATACACCGCGTTCAGAACAAAAAAGGGCTTATTTCAATTTTGTGTACTTCCGTTCGGACTTAAAAATGCACCCATGACCTTTGTACGTTTAATGAACGAAGTACTTAGGGGGTACGTCGATGACTTCGTTCAAGTCTATCTGGACAATATTTTTATTTTTTCGGACAGTGTCGAAACACATCTAGACCACCTTAGCAAGGTTCTAGAACGCCTAATGCGTCATGGCCTAACATGCCACACTAAAAAGTGTAAGATCGGGTATTCTGAAATTTCTTTTTTGGGACACCGGGTGCATGGGTTAGGCATAGACAAAGAGCCGGAAAAATTACAGTCTATACGCGATATTCCAGTCCCACGCAATGTAAGGGATATACGAAAATTTTTAGGGGTATGCAACTGGTATANCCTCGCAACGTAAGGGATGTACGAACATTTTTAGGGGTATGCAACTGGTATAGTCAGTTTGCCGATAATTACGCTGACAGCATCGACCATCTTACCCACCTTTTAAAGAAAGGGGAGAAGTGGTCGTGGTCACAACCACAACAACACATCAAATCACATCAAAACACATCAAATGAAATGTGCTTTCGAGCACATCAAATCGTCAATATGCGACTCTCCACGCCTTTCTTCCCCCGACTACACAAAAATCTTTTGCCTACAAACCGACGCTAGTGAACTTGGCGTAGGGGCGGTATTATTTCAACACGGACAAAAACCGGGGGAAAAGGATATCATCGCTTACGCGAGTAAAAAGCTGTCGGATACGCAAAAACGTTATGCCGCTGTCGAGCGCGAATGTCTAGCGATCATATGGGCAACCGATAAATTTAGGTCATACTTAGAGTACGCCCCTTTCGAGTTATACACAGATAATTCAGCGCTGACTTATCTGCACAAAGCGAAGGGAACAAACAGTAAGTTGACCCGCTGGGCGCTACACTTGGGTAACCTAAATTTCACCACGACACACGTACCGGACAAACACAACGAAGCGCCCAACATGTTGTCACGTCACCCAATGGACGGACCCCCTGTTGACGAAGACGCCCTGGATGACAATTTGTTAGGCGCACCAATGTCTAGTCCGCCACAACCGCCGCCACTCTCGATAAGATCTACTCCATTGCCGAGGCAAACGACGCGATCTGTGACCGACCATTCAAGGGGGGGGGGGGGTACGAGAGGGGCAAAACAACGACCAGTTTCTCTCATCGGTCATAAAAAAACTGAACGCGCAACAACCCATAGCGAACGAAATACCGGACATGAAAAGTAAGGACGAATTTTTTTTTGTTGGACGGAATTTTGCGTATTCGCATATGCGCTGACACACCGGTAGTTGTTCTCGCCGACAAAGTTCAACATATAATTTGGCGGTACCACAACGATCCCCTATCATGTCACCCCTGATGGAGAGAAACACACCGAGCGGTCAAACAACGGTTCTACTGTAAAGGGTTAAGAAACACCGTGCGCATGTACGTAAAATCGTGTCACATATGCGCGTGCACTAAGCCCGTAAACAGGCACCTCGAAGACCCGATGGTCAAGCGCCAACCCAGACAGCCGTGGGAAGTAATTTCCCATTCAAAAATGATAACTAAAAATTGAATAAAAATAACATTACTTTTCAAAATAATAAACGTATGTAAATATATAATAAGAAGGATCCATATAAAAAGTTTTATTGGTAAATAATAACCAAAAAAAAAAAATTTGTTTAAAACACTCCTAGAACGGCTGATTACCAATATTACAAGTTCAATTATAATAGTCATTATCAGACCTGTCCTAATTTTAACCCTCTGAATTCCTCTAAAATTCTCTACCTCATAAAAATTTGTTCGATTTCTTCACTCGCTCATCCACTTAACATTATACATCTATTTGTGCAATTGTTTAACAATATTGTATATATTCGAAATATTAGCATTAAAATAATCAAAATATATAATGCAAATAACATAAAAATTGATTAGCTATTGTGATCCATTATATTTGCGATTCATTATTATTTAATTATGGTGTTAATATTGAAATAATTATGCTAGCTTATTCATAGATAAATAATTTATTCATTTTCATGTTTATATTATATTCAAATTCAATTGCTTATTAATGAAAATACATTAAAATAAATACAGCATTTCACTATGATATAAATTAGTAAAATTAGCTTATTTAATTTAAATTTTATTTTATTTAAAGAAACAATTATTATTGCTACAATCATCGCTGTCGTAATATTTTCAAATACAACATTTAACAAAATAAACTATATTTACAATTATTTATTGTTTGCACAGTAAATGTAAAAAACATTAAGTTATTTTGGATCATTGTCCGGAAATAGATTTAATCCTAAATTATCACTTTTGTATTACGTAGTCATTAATACAGTGTCTTCAGGTTTGCAATCAGAATTAATATTCCAATCCCAGTACTGATCATTGTCTAAAATAGCATAATTTATTTTTGATTTAATTAATTTCCAAAAAATTAATAACTGGTTTCTTATTTTTTGGTAGTGTGCATTATTCTTTTTATCAGTAAAAATTTTCATCGTAAAATTCACAATACAGTCAAGAGGTACAGTAGAAATATAATACCGTGTAAATGCAACATAAATCATACCATCAGTCACATGGTAATAATATTAATTTTAATATATTAAGAATATTGAGATTAAAATAATTTATTTTACGATTTCTTTTTTAATTAAAGTGTTTAATGATGTTATAGTTTAATATTAAAAATTAAGTTTAATAAAAATAATTATAAATGTGTATATTTTGTTATGTTTGCTTCTATAATTTGTAATATAAAATAGTTATTATGATTTTGGTTATGATAATAAAGGTATTCGACAAAATATTGGTAGGGGGTCCGCGATTTCTATAAATCTTTCATCGGGGGTCCGAGTTTCATAAAAGATTAAGAACCGCTGGTTTAGAGTATTAAGCTTATTGCATTTTTCTTGAATATATTAAAATTTATACATCGCAAGTCACCAATTATTTGTTTAACAATAATGTTCAATTATTGGGATATATTTAAATCGTAATTAATTTATTTTTATCCTCATGCAAGCTTCATATTTGTTGGTTTACGCACTATTTATACATTTTTATGTGATAAAAAAAATAATTTATATAAAAAGTGTTTGTGAATATGTGACTGTTCTTTGTTTTAATTAAATACTTGGCTAAAGTACAATTTATGTTTTATATTACAAAAACTAATTACATAGTTAGGTAATTAATAATATAATAATAAATACAGTAATTCTTATATAGTTTTGGCAACATTAAAAAAAAAGTAAACTATACTTGTTTGGGCCGGTGGTAATATGTACAAGATTACTTACCCAGTTAACACGCCTTTTTTTTACTCTTGGTCAGTAACGTAGTATACTACTTCAAAAGCTGACTAACCTGTTAGTGTATAGTGCTGTAATAGAGTCACTGGTGTTGGAAGAGGTTGTCTGCGTAAAACCAGTGATCTATGTAGTACTTAAATATGTAAGTGTATATATATGTAGATGTGTAATCCTTAAAAACTAATATAAAAAATAAATAACTCAAAATTTTATGACTAATATAAAAATAATATTTTCAATAAATAATATAATAATATTTACAATTATTCTTTGTTTATACACAAAATGAAATTTTTTTTGGTTCTTTGTACGGAAATAGATATAATCCTAGTGTATCATTATTGTATTGCGTGGTCATTATTTCAGTGCTATCAGGTTTGCAATTAGAATTAATATCCCAATCCCAGTACTGATCATTGTCTAAAATAGCATAATTTAATTTTGGTTTCATTAATTCCCTACAATTTAAGAGTTGTTTTCTTTTTTCTGGGTAGTAATTATTATGTTCTTTATTATTATTAATCATTTTCTCCCTGACATTTGCAACACAGTCAAGAGGTAGAGTAGAAATATAATACCGTGTAAATGCAACATATATATTATTTAATAGTTGATTAGTAGTATTGAAAATCGAGTTAAGTATTGAATTATTAAGTTTAATATTAAACAAACTTAACGTTTTTGAATTAAACAACATTTTTATTCTATCCCAAATTTCTATTTCAAACAAACAAAATCTGTCTACAAATGTTAATCCAACGCTTTCGATAACATTCAGATAATGAGTATAACATTGGATAATATTAATATTGTTTTTAAGACACGGTCGAATAATGTTTCCTAATTTTTTACCAACGGTACCATTAATAGGTACAGGAACTTCTATTTCATTTTTTCGCGTCCATGTCCAAGGTTTTTTACATTCCCTTGGGTTAAATAATTCAGATGACACAACATCGGGATCGTCTAATATAGTATTTTCGTTGTAAGGCATAGGACAACGAGATACATCTTTTCCTGTATAATAATCATGTTCTTTTAATGGCAACTGTATAAATGCAGGATATTGTCTGATAAGTATATTCAAGTCGTCAATAGTAATAGATATTTGATTTTCAGTATTCTGATTCAATTCATCATTTGTATAAACACTTATAACATATAAAATTATTACTTTCAGTAAAATAATATATACTTTGCTATAAGAGACCAAACTCATGGCCACTTTGAAACCCAAACAGCGGTACGTCGTACATTACGTTAATCTTAAACAGGCGATCGCACACGGACTGCAAGTCGATAAAGTATGTATAGTTAACCTATAAACTATAAGCGATGATACTAATATAAATATTTGTACTGCAGGTGCACCGCGTTTTAGAGTTTCAACAAAGTGCTTGGTTGAAACCATACATTGAGTTGAACACTGAAATGCGGAAAAAGGCGGCAAATGCTTTTGAAATTGCATTTTTCAAACTAATGAACAATGCCGTCTTTGGTAAGTGCATGCTCAATGCTAAAGTGGGTTATTCGATAATTTTTTACATTTTATAGGGAAAACAATGGAGAACATGCGGAAACGCATCCGTATTGAGCTAATCTCCAGTCCCGAACGTCTAAGCAAGCTCGTAAACCAACCAACCTTCAACGACNATGAATTATAAAATTTCTTATTTAGCTTATCGTTTTTTTGAATCAAATTTATAACTTACATAGAAAACACTAGAACCTTTCAAAAATAATATGTAAATGCTAGATTTAATGAGCCTTGATAATGACAGAGTCATAACATATATATTTTTGTCATAAAACATTAAAACAGGTCATATTTTCGAAGAAAAACTACTCTTTTCTTGTTAAATTTATTTCCAAATTGAAAAATAATAACTAAACATTGAATAAAAATAATAATACATTTCAAAATAATAACCGTATGTAAATATATAATTGGTTAATAAAGGTTCATCTTTCAAAAATTCAAATATCAAGATAAAAATAATGCTAAAATTTTAGTTTCGATTAAGGTTAACGGTTTTGAAAGTTTTATATGGGCTCGATTTTGTAATTTTCAATGAGTTTCGGTTTCAAAGTCAGTTCTCCAAGTGTTGGTTCCTACCCTGATTTGAATTACTTAATCACAGCTTATTTTAACATAAATAACTTTAAACTTAGGCCTTATCACAACGCGGTAGTAAGAAGATGTTTAGGCGACGTGGGCCACCCTGAATCAATGCCTCGCGGTAGTCCAGGTTGACCCACATCAAGTCGATTAAAGAGGAGAAGAAAAAAAACTGGCATAATCATACGCCTAGATTGCGTCCCTTAGACCCTTGCCCGCGGCTACAAGAGTAGGATTGCTGTTGTGCCGAAACAGTATCTCGTTGTTGGCGAGTCTAGCGGCATTCACGACCCGGTCGACTGCGTTGTCGCTCCCTTCCTTCAGCGCAGAGACGCAGCGAGACATGAGGCTCGCCCGATCTGCCTCCTCCACTATCCCATCAAAGGGGTCGTCATATGGTATTTCCCATTCGGAGCTAAACCGGTCACCGGCGGAGAGGTCCTGCCGCATCATTCTAAGTATGGAGTTTACCAAGCTACGGAAGTTTACGGGCGACTGGAAACACCCGTGCGGCAAACACGCCATCTGTACGCAGTCTAGGCGCTGTGCGATCATCGACTACCTCTCGAATTCGGAGTGGGACATAAGAATATCGTTACAGAAACGACTCCTAATGCCCGACCATTTCATTAATTTTGATTCCAATATTTAGTGTTATTAGCTTTTAGCAGTTAAAAAGTGATGGTGATAACGCACATCCTTGTCGGCCTCCTTTTAAATTCGATGCGAAGCTGAGAAGGTATTAATTTTGCCATGATGTGTTCATTTTATTTTTTCTTGTGTCTGTCACTACTTTTTCTCAGCTCTCACTGGACCTATTTCTTTCAACAATACGTCGAAAGATCACAAATCGTATCTAATTGAAGATATTACCCTTAAAAATTGAAAAATTTTCCCTCGTTCCCCGCAAATGGGGGTAATATCCAAAAAAATTACAAATTTAAAAATCGGTCAATTTTGTCATTTTTTTAGTATTGAATGCATTATTATGACTGGTACAATTATTCAATTACATTATTTATAAGTGTATATAATTTTTAGGTAATGAACAGAATGATCAAATGTTATGTTATTGCTGCAGTCAAGGTTTGAAAGATTGGGATGATGATGACGACCCATGGGTAGAACATGCACGTTGGTCTCCTAGCTATACTCGTGTATTGTTATGTAAGGGACAGTTAGTTATCCAAAATAATGCAATAACAAAATAAAACTACTATTAATCTTATACAGTATTGTAGTTTGAAAAATAAATAAAAATTTTTAATATTGAATCTTGTGTGTTATATGAAACTATATAAAAGGTACAGTGTGTAATAAATAAAAATTTTTAATTCGATTTAGTAAAAAACATATTATACTACTAAATTTATAATTTGTATAATATAAGAGGGTTTTTGTATTTACAAGCGTTCAAATCTACAAAAAAATCAGACACGTGTGACTTTATCAGCTTTATTGTGTTTGAATTATGTGTATATATGTAATTATTTTCTAACTTAAAAGAAAATTAACAAAAATATTGCTAAACTATCGTGTTTCTTTCTTTTACACTCAAACCCTTACATCCAGTATATATTCTATATGTTTTTTAACTTTAAAATACTTTTTACTTTGCTATCTACATCATTGTGTAAAATAAACAATAGTATCCATGTAAGCAATTTATTGATCCCCACTGGTAAGGTATTGAATTCCTAGGGACTTTTATCCCAAACGATTAACTTTATTGAGCCTTAAAATATAGATTTTACTATATAACTGCAGAAATAACCCATTATCTGTTCATTCACTTTTTGGTGTTTTTATGGTGCTTTTCGTCATCTACAACTGTGTTTCACGGCTATTCCTGTGCATTTTCAACGGTAATTTTTTATCAATATATTTTGACATGTACCTCGAAAACATATAATTGTGGTTTTTTTATTTGCGAAACTCAAAACAATATTTTCACCATATTTTTTAAGTAATTTTGCACGAATAGTATTTACGTCGGGCACATAATCATCATAAATGTAAGGCAATATATCAATTTTCAATCGAAAATTGACATTCCTTGCTATTTTCTAATATAGAATATATTTTTTCCATTACTATTATAATGTCCTTATTTTGCGGTCTTCCTCTTTTTAAATTGACTCTAGATGATGATTTAAAAAAATTAACAAAACAATGTTTGTGATATCTACCATCAGCTGCTACGAGATCAATTACATTAGCTAAACGCTTTTCAACCTCTTTGCCCCATAAATCATTTAGTTCTTTAGCTTGAGTAATAATAGACTGGCCTACGTTTAAACTAGTTACAGTACACACAATTTCTCTACACTCTACAGACTTCTTTTTTTGAATATCCGAGAAATTGTCTGGTATAACTTCAAAGCAAAATAAAACACTTACTTTTAAGTTGAAGAGACTGAGATGATTGTACTTTATTTTTGGTAGGTGTAGGTGGTAATGACGTATCAGTAAAAGTAGAAGCACTTGCTTGTTTCAGGTCACTTATAATGGTACATTTACGTGTATATGATTTTGTACATTCTATATGTGCCACTAATGTTTTTAAATTTATTATCTCCGCGCATTTCACTAGCCTTTAAAAGACTCAATAAACCTTTTTGCTTAACTTCGATAAAGTCACCTTAAGTTTTTTCATACATACAGCAAGTGATATAAAACATATTTTAAAATAAAATAATTTAAAATTATAAAAATTGTTTAACCCAAAACTACTTTAACACACAATATTTGCTCGTATTACTATTACTATCTCACGGCTGTAAGACGAAAAATTACTGTTATACAAGTATATTATCGATAAACCTAACGTCTTTTGTTAAGATAAAATTCAGTCTGTAATTAGCGTCAAATCAATTACCTACACTATCGGTTATATCTTAATATAAACTACACTTTAATGATACTATAAATAAATAAACTCATACATACACATATAACCATTTGTACCATTGTGTCTGATGTAAGAATAATATGANTACCCTACTTACACATATAACCATTTGTAACATTGTGTCTGATGTAAGAATAATATGATAAAAAATAATCATAAAATGGAAAAAAATTGAAAATAAAATTTGGTTGGGAATTTTTTCCGCCATTTTTCCTTCGTTGACTGGCCTAGTACATGGAAAGTTTAGATTAATTGTTGTATATATATATATATATATATATATATAGTTTTGTAAATTTATTTAAATTATTATATTGAAAAATTAAAATAAATATGTAAATATGTTGTATTAATGGTGAGTGTGTGTGTGTGTGTGTGTACTTATTTTCACTAACTTATAAAAAAAATGTATTTATTTCCTTATTAAATAATTTAATGGTAACAATGTAGTAACAATCAGGTCATTTGTCCGGGTATGTATCGTAAAAAGAAATGGTGAATAGATTAGTAATTATAATAATAATAATAATAATATCTTTTTTACGGAAATAACTCCATTTACAATTTATATATAAATATGATAACAGTTGAGAACACGTAACAATTAAATCACAATTTAATACAAGCAAATATATATTATAGATTATAAATTAATAATTTTCATTATTATTTAATGTATAAAGATTTAAATTTATCAATATTACTACAAACGAAAAAATCCGCACTAGCCCTATTACCCGCCAACATTAAAACAATAATGTAAGAAGATTCTTATATTTTTTTTAAAATATTTTTTACGTAGAATAAATCTTTAATTTGGGCGCTGATTTTAGGTATTTTAAATTGTAAATGCTCAAGAAGGAATGAGCAATCAATGTCACCATTAATAAGTTTATATAAAAACACTAAATTTTGACTGTTTCTTCTATAACCTAAAGTATTAATATTAAAGAATTCTAAAACTCCATCGTAACCAGAATGGGGTATCCTTTCAGCCTTATATTGAATAATAAATATCTTAGAAAATTATTTTGTATTGAATCTAAGTCATGAATTTGAGTAAAAGAATTATTAAACCACACAAGTGAAGCGTATTCAAGGTGAGATCTTACTAATGAAAAATAAACTGCTTTAAGGGCATCTGCGCCCTTATGTTGTAAAGGTTAAAGAATATTATCTTATATAAACATGTATGAGTTTGTACTACGTTCCGATACACTGAACGATTTCTATAGTATATAATGACGAATAGTATATGATTACTATGGTAACATATTATTAATTTTCCAAACATTAATTGTATTTTTTTTTTAAATTATTTGTTTCGCGTTCAACAGGAAAAACATCGGAGAACGTACGAAAACACCAAAATATACAACTTATGTGCAACCCGGAGAACTGTCGAGAAAACCGTCGTTTTAGTCCCACCACCGTATTCAACAAAAATCTGGTTGCCGTGCGCATGTACAAGGAGAAGATCAATTTTTACAAAACCTTTTTTATTGGACAGGCCATATTAGATATAAGTAAATGCTCAATGTAAAAGTTCCATTACGAGGTTATGATGCCATTGTACGGATCCGGGCGACTCCTACTCTGTTACATGGACACCGATAGTTTCATTAACCTGATAA